AGAGAATGCTTTTAGCACAACCCTATTCTGGAGAGTGAACTCTTTTTCTTTATGTTAGAATAAAAGACTCAAGCATTGAAACAAGCTGGTCTGTGATACATCTGTTATTACTCTTTGTTTCTGATAAACTGTCAATATGCAGACGACTACCTGGAGTTCATGGTGGAAGTTGGGAGACTGACGATCTGGTGACCCGGTGTAATTAAAACACTGCATTATTGCTGTTATGTTTAACTGTGTATCACACTAAAATGCAGCTGTCATATCACCAACTGCTGCCATTGCAGGCAGCTTTACAATAAAAGATGTTCATATAGTATTAAACATGTTACTATGCCTGTAAAGCAGCTTGCTCTACAGTCATGTCCCCAGTAGGTGGTGCTGTGGTTAGTTTCAGATGCTCAGTCACTCATTGCTCATTCAGTGACACATATGTGTCTGTGTGTGTCATTTGCTCCTGTTGGCTTACAGTACATTGTAAAAACTTGTTGAGAATCTTTAATATCCTAAAGTCACAAAAACTCTGAAAGTATGCAGAAGTAGTGAGCAACAGAAAGACAATAAAATAAATTATTAAAAAGAGAGTAATATTTGAAAACAAGTTCTCACACAAGAGAAGAACGAAGATAACGATGGTGGAAAGGCTGAAAGGTGTGAGGGCCAGCTCACACACAAATTAGATCTAAATGAGAGAAATGTATGCCTTTTGTCAGGTGTAAATGTAAACAACCCTCCCAATTATTATTTGCCTCATGCATTTCTCAGAAGTAGACGTGTGTGTGTAAGTAGTTTGCAAGTATGCAAAAATGTGAAAGGTGACACATTAGTAGTGTGAAAACAACAATCTTCTTTAGATGTAGTGTGAGAGCAGTGTTTCAGTTCATTCTAAAAGGAAGACATGACTTTATTACTATTACCAAATGTAAATGTGAGGGTCTGTGTGTTATGATTCTAATGTGTAAAACAATCCATAATTCATTTGAAAAAGTTTTTTTTAATCAGGCACAGACAAATAATACATTTGGATTATTCAGTTTGTATTATAGAAATAGGCTGAAGCATAAAGGTCATTAAAAATAACTATAAAAGACGACATCTAGATACTCACAAATACCAGTACCACCCATAACCTTTGTGCCAATACTACAATGATTACCAATAGCCTATATATGTCATTTATTTCATGTATATAGTCATTTTAAGCTTAGCTAATAGTCAGTTGTACAGTTTGACTTATACATAAATTTCTTACCTGATCATAATTCAATACAGCCTTGTTATATTTCTGACTTGACAAACATTACTGATGTGAACAAACCTTCCAGCTACCATTTTATTCAGATGTTTAGATCACAGTTGTGGCTTTAAGCTTCTGTGTACATGTGATGATGGTGTTGTTTGGTGTACGTGTTTGTGTGTGTCCTGACCTCACTTGCCTGATGTGCGATACAGATTTGTGATGACAAGATAAGCAACAGTATATAAGAGCTGATCTTTGACCTCTTTGACACTGAGAGAAACAAGAAAAAATCCTCCTGCACCAGGTTTAGTTCAAACTCTCCTATCATCCTCTTTACTAATCGATAGACTGTCACTATAAGAAGTTTGTGGCCTGCAGATGTATTACTAACAACCCTGTGTCTTTTCATCAAAGCTAATCATCATCTTTATCTGCATCATCTCCACCATGAAGATGCTGACTGTGTGTGCACTTGTTTGTACATTCATGGTTCTGACCGGAGCTGCTGGTGAGTATTGTGTAGGAGAGTACTGTCAAGAGTAAGTTTTTGGGTTTTCTTTCTAAATGCTTCGTACTGGTGACAGATTAAAGTAGTTTAATATAGACATTCAGTTTCTCAAAGAATGCATGTGAGTGATTTGCAGTCCAAAGCAAGAATAGCACATATATGAAACAGGAACTGACTGAACTTATAACTGTAACACAGGTGAACCAGCTGTAAACATGAACAATCATAACTGAGCTGTCTCACCTTAAACCAGGTGATTTCTTTACTCGCCTTCCTCATCCACCATACCTTATTCACTTTTTTTGGTTATGTTGGCTTTCTGTCTCTCAAATGGGGTAACTTTATTTATTTATTATTTTTTATATTAATTAAAAAATATCAGTCATGCATAATTCCTAAAATAATTATACAAGGACACTTTGACATGCAGCAGGGGGAACCCACTCTACATCACGAACCACAACTTCAATGCCGTCTTCAAAAATTGCTTTGCCATGCATTCAGAGATGGATTCAGAGACATTTGAAAAGTGTTTTTCTTAAGAAATCAGACACTGATGGTGCATCACTGTATTGTACCGCTAGTTTTGCTCTGGCCAGGAATCAGGGGGAACCTGGGACATTTGAAACTACATAGAACTGAAGTACCAAATGTTTTGTCAGAAAAATAAATAGTTCAACATAATAAAAGACTCAACACAACCCACTGTCCTTCTCAATTTGTCTTCAGGCGAGCATCATGTTGTCAAGTGATCATCTTGTGGTAGCTGGACTGAATACAACTGTTGCTGTTTCCATTTGTTCCAAAGGGGATGACGCTGAGGTAATCAGGACAGAGTTTGCTTTCTTTGACCTGGGTTGCATTTAAACAACGCATTATTGTTAAACCAAACTAAGATGGCGAACATAATCATACCTGCTAAACATCAACACAGCATGTTAGTATTGTCACTGTAAGCAAGTTAGCATTTTGACTATTAGTATTTAGCTCAAAGCGCTGCTGTACCTAAGTACAGCCTCACAGACACACTAGCATGTCTATAGACTTTAACAAAATGAAAGTTCGTAGCAGATTGTGAAAACAGCTTCAACAGAGACGCCTTTAAAAATGGCTAGGCCAATTTTTCCCTCGCCCAAATTTGGCCAAACTGTGGAGCATTATTTAGCCCCTTTCGTGACAAACTAGCATGACATGGTAAATAATGGATGCCTTAGGCGATCTAATTTCATATGAGAAGAGTGTGACCAAGAAAGGAGAAGTTGATAAATGATTGCATCAGAGTTATTATAGTATCTTTGTGTTCTTTTTTACTGTGTCGCCAGGGCCCTGTTCTTGTAGATTAACACAGAATGACAGATAATCACAGCTTTATCTGATTGATGATGATGGTGATGATGATGATAACACGTAAGCTTTTGAGAAATCATTAATTGTTAACACAATTTTCAGAATAGGAAGTTAATGCATGATAATATAGACTACGCAATAAGATCAAATAAATACATACAAACAAAAATGCATAAAATGTATGTGCACTGGGATAAGGAGAATTTGTTGTCACAGTACTGTATAAAACAATATTTATTTTGCAGATAAAAGAGATTATTTTTATGTGAAAGCCTGTTTTTCTATTTCACATGACTTGTTACGGTTCTCAATAGAATCAGTTAAGCAATTACCCCACACACTTTCCCATATAGCTCTCGGAAGTAGCAATTATGTGAATTCAAGAAAGGAGAAGTTAATGCATTATTACAACAGAGTTACAGAGTCACTGTATCTGTACACCCCCATGCCAGAGTGAAGAGGAAGGTTGCAGTTTACACTAAATCTTCCTTGAAGTCTCTTTATAATGAACAATAGACTATGGAAAGCCCCTACAAACTTACTGAAAGCAACTCTCAGTTTTAATTTGGGTATGCTGATTTTGCTGTGCAATATACTGGAGGTGAATTACATTTTCCATTAACACCTGTGCACCTGACAACATGACCAGATACTTGAAGTGTGAAAATATGTTGGGCTGAACCCAAGGTCAGGTCATACATAGCTTATACTTAGTTGTTGTTTTTTACCCAAGCGGTATGAACACTCTTAGCTCTGTGTGTTTTTTCTTAGCTGCCTTTCTTGTATTAGATCAAAAGATAACACACTCCATATAAGAACTGGTCTGTTGTTCAGCACCTCCGCACAAGAAGGCCAAAACCACAGGCTGACACTGATAAAGAAGATAATTCTGCAGGCAGTTCTGCTGTGACACATCTCTTTCTCACTTACTTCTCTTTAATAGGTACTATTAGTTTTTACATCTGTATTATGTCTACTATGAGAATGCTGACCGTGTTGGCACTTGTTTGTGCCATAATGATTCTAGCCAGAGCTGATGGTGAGTGTTAATCCCAGTGTTTTGAGGTTTTTTTCTGTGTGTGATTTGTACACATCCAATAATGTAGCATGGAGACAAACCAGGAGCATGGCACTATCAGACACAAGAACAACTGTACATACACATTTGGTATAAAATTACTAGTAATTCAATGGTTCAGATTAACCAAGACGCATTGCCTTTCTTCTCCATTTCTCTTCAGCCGAGACTCAGACAGTCAAGACACCAACATCTTGTCCCAGTAATTGGACAGGTATCGACGGTCGCTGTTTCCAATATGTTCAAGCAGCCCTAACTTGGGCTGAAGCAGAGGTAATCAGGACAATGTGGGTCCAGTGTACAATGCTGACACACAGTTTTCGGCATTGTGTAACTTGGTGTTTTTGTATTTGATTGATTAATTGATTTTTGGAAATTAAATTCCATTATTTGTGCAAACCTCGCTTCTGTGCACAGCGAGAGTGAGTACCTTGAAATTCAGATGATGATATCCAGGGTCAGTAAAGGGTTTGGAAGGACATGGCTTGGAGGCACTGACTGCCAGCAGGTATATCATTTGTCATTGCAATCATTCAAGTAGGATTTATTTATTCATTTATTGTTTTCATTCAGTTTTAAATTCAGTCGTGTCTTTAAGGAGGGCGTTTGGTTGTGGAGTGATGGCACACCTTTCGACTATCACCACTGTGGAAGGTTTGACAACCGCTGGTGGAAGGAGCACTGCTTGCAAATGAATTATGGAGGTAAAACACATTATGAGAGCGGCGTGAATGATGATGATAATGATCGTTTTTGCAAAAATCCTACTACAACTACTACAACTAATAACAACAAATTATGTTAATTATTATCATAGTGATGTGATGATGGCAGCCAAAGGTTTACTATTAACAGTATGAAGTGATATATTTATACAGAAAAATGACTGACTGTCTTTGATACTTGCAGAAAACAAGTGCTGGAATGATGTGAGGTGTTCCAGCAAACTTCCAGCCGTCTGTGCCAAAAATCCCTAAACATTCCTCGGCTGACACAGAGGCATGAACCCCAACTCTGGTGCATATGCGTTTGGGATTATGACATTTATTTCTTTTCTGTCGCTACTATTGCAAAGGAATGACGTGACAAGTGATATAAACAGGAGCTGGATTGCCTCTTAGAGGCCTTGTTTTTTTAATAAGAGCAAACTGAATGTGTTATGAAAAGAATGCTTTTAAGCTGATCTTATTCTGGAGAGTGAACTGTTTTTCTTCATGCAAAAATAAAAGGCTCAAGCACTGAAAAAGGCTGCTTTGTGACTTTTTGTGAAATCTGCTGTTATTAGGGGTATAGCACTCTTGCATATGTGTGAAGATACCGATCAACATGTATTTTACTGGCTAAAGCTTTATTGCTACAACATCCAAACCTCACACAGACCTTCCTGTTTATGATATTGTGTCAGGGGCCATTCTGTTTTGCCTTACAGTTCCTGCTTTTTCAGATAAAATGAATGACCATTTTTAGTTGCTCTATACGTGTCAATTCTTAGTGGATCTTTGTGCAAATGCATATTGTCACAGATGTCATTTTCAGTACACGACACAATTCAATCAATCAATTTTAAATGTAAAAGGTAAAAAAAAGTACATTGATTTAAAAGTATATATATAAGTATACAGTGAAATGATTGTTCACTTATTGTTAAAAGCAGCTAACACAAAGGAGTGAAATATGTCATAATTTACTACTGTTCTACTTCTGATCATATATTTTAATGAAGTACCACCAAATAATTTGTGTTTTTTAGTTGTTATCACTGTGCACATGCACACAACAGCAGCAGAGATGCAAATATTGCAGCACTTAGAAGAATGTTCATGTGCCCAGGATGTCATCTAATGTGTTTGGTATTAATCCTATTGACGCTAGTATTGATACTCAAAACAAGACTTCGTATCGGTAGTATGAATACTTTTGGGATCAAGCAGATGAAAGATAAAAAATCCTCCAAAAATCTTTTTAATCAAACCCACAAGGTTTACAATCATGTGAAAAATGATATCCGCGAGAAACAGTCTTCTCTCTTTATACTGCTGTGAATAAATAGGCTTGAGAATGCATTCACCATTTAACCACATTCCCTTTTTCTGGTTTGAGTAAACAATGCTGTGTCAATTTCAGTGCAATTTGTAGATTTCAATATTAATCATTCACAGTCATCTGTGAAACAAACAATTCCTGTAGTTACTGTAACACAATGTTGTAAGCCAATATGGCCAATATGTAATCAAGTGTGCAGCTTTGTGAATGACTGAGTCATTTACATTGCTTCCATGAGGGCCTTCTTTTTCTTCCTCATAGGCTTCTTCGGGATCTCAGTTGTGTTGCTGCTTTTGTTGCTGGCACTGCTGGCTCTTTTCATCTGGTACATTACCTTAGCTGCTTCATCAGAGAGAGTCTGCAGGGTGAAAGAGATGATAAATCAGTGTGTAAGGGACATAAACTGTCCCATCTGTGAGCCTTGATTAAAAGGAATGTAGTTTAACGGTTTTTAAGGTCTCTGGAAACTTCAATCTCTGGAAAGTTTTTATGGAACACATAAAAATCATATTTTAAGTGTATTGGAGAAAACTCTTTCTGGGAATAAATTTAGCAGAATTTCATGTCAAACTGATTGCATCACCCAAAGGGAAAATGGATTATTTGGAGTTCATGTCACCTAGATTTTGCTGCAGTCGCATTAGATTCGAAAGTTATGGCAGAAAGTTTATGTTAGAGTTAGATGAGAAGATTGATTCCACTCTCATATCTTTTCAATAACATAAATGATGTAAATATCAATATAAAGCTACAGCAAGCAGTCGGTTATCTTAGCTTAGCATACAGACTAGAAACAGGGAAATAGCAAACCTGACTTTTATCATAATGATTTTATTTTGGTTTTGTATGAATGAAAGACACAATATATGAATTAATAATCTTTAGAGGTGCTGGTAGGCAGATTTTGTTACACTCCCAAGCCAAGCAAGCCGTTTCCCACTATTTCCAATCTTACTCTAACTGACTTCTGGCTGTATTTTAATATTTAATATTTATCGTAGAGTTTAGAGTTGTATCAAGCTTTTTAATTTAACTCTTGGAAAAGAAGCGTATAGGTGTATTTCCCAAAATGTTCAACTATCACTTTATGGGGGCAAATAAATTCAGTAGGCAGTTTAGAGGTACTAAAAACATGGCACAATCTGTTTTTGAGGATGGATTTTTGAGTCAGAACATAAAGTGCTTATGAATGGCCACAAGGTGGTGCTACTGTATTTAGAACTGTACCAAAAACTACTTCTACTTGGCCCATTGCCTCACTATTACCCAAAATTAGCTGACATCTGTTTTTATGATGTCCTGCTCAATAATAAAGAAACACGAACAGGATGACAAGAGAAACAAGACTGCAAACATAACCTCAGAGTTAAAGATAAAGTGAGATAAACCTGATAAAACTGCAGATGACACAAAATTAAACCTTTTAAATCCTCTTTGGCTTAAGGAATTAAGAACATCAAATTACTGAATTAACTTCATTGATAAATTAAATGTATGATTACCTGGGATTCTGTGGTGATGTCGTCACAGATTGTTGTCATGGTGTCCATCCAGTTGCCATAGACACTCTCTTCCTTTTGGATTGGCCTCTGCTTACTATGGGGCAGACAGAGGAAGAGTATTACCAAGAACAACACTCTGAATACACTCAGAGACACACTAACCTTAACCATCAAACCTGCATGCCTAGCCTTAACCTTTATCCTAACTTTAACCTAAACCAAATTGTAATCTTAACACTAAAAATAAGTCCAAAATAAACTGATAAAAGCCCACAATGTGGCCACACTACCAGAATAGCACATGCATGCACCCAAATCAACCACTGTGTATAAAGCAATGCGTTAACTTGTCTCATATTGTTTGTTATTATATTTATCATATGGTTATAGTCTCTGCGTTTAAAATTTTAACAATTTATAAAGAATGTCTAGAAAGCTGTGAAGTTTGGAAATAGTGACCTTGTCATAACAGTAACAAGTGGTTTAACACAAAAATTGGAAATAACATTTCCTATTTGTTATATTAAATCAAGAGTGCATCGCCATAGCAACATATTATCAATGGCTTGATATCCTGCCATTCCATCCTTGTTTGGTTATTTCAATATATTGTCATCGACAACCTTTCTGTTTTATAGGTTAAAGGGAGTTCAGAGGTAAGAGAGTCATACCTGATTTGGTCAAGCAGGTCTTGCTGTGCTTTCAGTTGCCTCTGTGCTTCCCGCACTCGACCTTCCATGGTTAAACTGGCACAGAGTTGAGCACAGTGAACGCCAAGCACCGCCATGTTGAGGCTACCGGCGGAAATCCGACTTCAGACAGAGGAGATGAGAAAAAGACATAAATGATCTCTAAGACAAACACAGCAGATCATATTCTTGACACTCGAGTTTCAGCAATGATATTAAAGTGATTTTTAATACATTACAGTTATTTAGTTACTTTGAGTAACTGTTCAATTTTTGATCAAATAATATGTAAACATGATGAAGACTCTTACACAGATTTTTGTGTCATTTATGATGGTTTTTGATACTCTTACCAATACAATCGAGTGAATACCACAAATGTTTTCAACCCTACAGTGTTTACCTGCTGGTAGTAACTGGTCGCTGTTCAGTAATGACACGAGTTACTTTTTCTTGGTCTCTGGTCTTGAAGCTCAGCTGGAGTTGAAATGGAAGCGTCACCTTCTGCAGAAAAACTGTCACACACATCGACACACATCTTTGCGTAAGCACCTCGTGCCAAATTTAATTTGCTGTGTTATTATTATTAATTTGTTATTAATATGTAAAATTCTTTCAATTTCATTTTATGTGCTAACATTGGCTAGCAGAACACACTACTGGGTGTGAGTCCCCACAATGTTACTGGGCTGCCAGGTCACGGTCCCCACAATGAGGTATAAACAGGCTAATAGAATATGACAAAGTTGATTTAGTTTGGACAATAACGCTGGTCTTACCATCCATATACTGTGGTTTTACAGCAAACTGGAAGGTGATCTCCAGATCCTTGGTCACATTCCCTATCTCTCTCACCACTTTGTGATTGTTTTCATCCTCATAGGGGAAATACCTACAAATAAAGTCAGAGAAGAGGATCGAAAGTCATCATAAAAGAGCTGCATTGCATGGATATGGAAGGAGAGAAATTGGGAACAGAAAGGGCGTAAATGAGTATTTTCATATTCATATTTATATTTAATATATATACCATTTTTTATACATTAGACTTATAGTGAGCAGGGACATGTTGGTGTCTGTGGTCTCCTCATTGGTAGGTTTCTACACACAAAACAACCTGAAAAGTTCCTGTTACTGTATTTTTAGTGTCAGTCACCACTTACACTCCATCAAGAGCAAGCAGGGTTGCCTTGACTCCTGTTGCAAGGACATTGTCAATGGAGGCTGACTGGATCTCTGTTGCAACGGTACCGATGCTCACCATGTTCACCTGTGCAGCAGAGGGAACAAGCGTTTATAAAAGTGTGAGTCAGTTTTATAAGTCGTGTATTTCCTCATATAATTTACATACATACTTTGATCATTTAAAAACTATACCAAACACGTAATTTGTTTTGCTTCATCATACCATGCTACGACAAAACACACATTTCACTTCTCTCCACATGCCCTGCATTTTTTCGAACAATAATCTTAGAGAATATAATTTGGTCATACTCACAAATGCACGTTTAGGAGTAGGGAATGTAACATTGAACCACAATACAGGTAATAACATTGTAGGGTATGATAGTATCAATTTAGTTCCAAGCCTCTGTAAGTTAATATTCATAACTTACTGAACTAAAACCAGCAGCTGCATTAATGGAAATCAATCTAAACCAGACTTAAGGGTCTACAGTCATGCTAGCGGCTCTGCAAGGCTACACTTAAAGTGCCAGTATACATCAGAGGTGCTCGTTGGATGGTCAAAAAGCTCCACACCTTTCCTTTCCAAAGGGCTGTTTAAGACAATTTCTGTAACTTTTTGCCAGATGTGTGGAAGTATAAAAACAATGACGTTAGAACTTGTCCCTCTAGCTCTTTTTTTATTCTCGACACAACTATTTCTGTCACTTTTTATGTGAACAACCAATTGCAATGCTAAGAGAGACTGAAAATGTGCACCTATCCCCATATTTTTGTACTCCTCCCTCTCAGTGATGGCCGTTAGGAACATGAACACACATTATAAATACTTTTGTCTTCAGACAGTGAATGACACATCATGCAAACCAGTTCTTTTTTAGTATGACTCCACCCTTAGGCTTTTACATCTGTTCATAGAAAATGAACCTATTGGTAATATGCCACACTGTTTGTACAACTACAACAAGTTTCACAGCATTAAACAACTATGTCAAAGAAGTTTTGTTTTGTTTTTCTCAGTGGTAGCAACTGTATTTATAGAATGTATGTGTGCGTCTCACCCTTCCTCCAGTAGTGTCAGCGAGTCTCCCAACGTCAGCCAAGCGACAGTCTGTCCCTTCAAAAGTCATGACTGATATTATGACTCTGAGAGATGAAAAAGAAAGAGAATATATCTTATTCAATTTTGGTTGATTTTAACTTTTGATTTAATGAGATTGATCTCTACACAGCAATACATTCTGGTCATCATACAACTGTGTGTGTCCTCACCCACTCTCCACAGCCTTTTGAGCCAGTTCCCTGTAGAAATATGGAGTTTGGGAAGAAGGGGACAGAGAGGGAGTTTGCTCCATTTCACCCAGTCCGATGTTGGCTCTGCCGTCAGTACACAAAATCACCTGCGGAGCACAGAAGATCAGGAACTCCATTACCCACAAGTCTCCTTGTCAGTTCTGTCAGCTGTCAGTCGACACAGGTGGTTTTCATTTTAAAGATGAAGAGACACAGTACTCAGATAATGATTAATAGGGGGTTTGGTAGGTCTGTGTATGTGGAAGCACAATATAAACATGAAATATAAAAGACTATGCTGAAAAATGGAAAACATAAAGCATTTTCCTAACATCTAAACATCCATATATGAATGTAAAAAAACATAAATGACAAAAACATATATTTTTGTGTGTTTCTTATTGTTAATATAACATTCTGAAAAGTTTATAGGCAATATGGATTTATTAAATGGCTTAATCTGCATTATATAAGTGCCAGGAATGTTTGTAAAAAATACCCATGTATATAAGGGTTATCGTGTTACATCGTGTTTGTTTAAATCGTACAAAAACATTAGTGTAAAAATGACTTCCTGGAGTCTCTGCTGGTTGCCTGGCAACCTCATGGTGATGACAAGACTCCAAGAAGTCACTCCTCCCATGCCAAGACAACGTAGAGTGGGATCAATCCTCTTATCTAACTCTGGAAAGGCAATATGTTGGACTATACCTTAAAGACTCACTCACCTTTGACCCGGAGTACCTTGACGCCATGGCAACTGAGGCTAACGCTGCAGGACCAAGACTCGTAGCACCATGTTCCCTGAGCCTGAATACAGAAATATTAAAAACAAAGATTTAATGTCTGAGCCACAGGGTACAGAGATCACTGAACCTGCCACACACAAACAAAACACACCCCATCATCACTTACTCTTTGACCCTCTGTATTAGTTGGTGGTAGGTCTCAGCAATACAGTGTGGGATCTTATAAGACATACCCTGTTGCCATATATGGTCAGAGTCAACCAACGCAAAATCCCTGAGAGTGAGAGGCGTGCTAGTACCATCGCCGTATATTACAACCTGTAAAAAACAAATGGATGAGAGGAAGGTTAGAGGGTGTTTAATGTTTAAGTATGGATGCATTTACAATAGATTGTAGACCACTTTCCCCCCCAGAATAACTTCCGTTAGGTAAACAGGTAGTCTTCTCGCGTTTATATATATATATGATTCTTTTTATAGGGCGTTCGACTGTCTCAGTATTGCTTTGTCCCCTGGTTATTTAAAATGTTCTGCTTTGGTAGATGTTCTTGGACTGAGGTAATACGGAGGCTACGGCAAGTGTAGTAATATATTAGTACCATGACATAGTTATGGGGTCTGCACAATGGCTAAAACCTCAAAACTAAACCTCAACATTTAATTGTGACCACTGAAATGTTTCTCCTTGTGAACATAAATAATGAGCACTTCAACTAAAGAGCAATTCAAATTGCTTAATTTAAAGGATTTGCATAGGCCTGAAGAAGTAAAAGTATTCAGTATTTCATAAGAAAAGAGCAAAATTTAAAAAAAAAGTTCTTTGGTTTAAGGTTTGTTTTTCCTCTTATATCCCTTTAATCATCCTGGACTAAGGCAATAATATTACTATGGGCTTTTTCAGGATTTATTTATCATAAATTAAGCAAAATAAAACACAATTAAATAAGATTATACATATGAAAAGATGAAAAGAAATTCATTGAATGTATATTTAAAAGATACATTTAAATAAAGATAAAAAAACAGTTATTACAATTGCCAAATAATTTTTTTCTGTCTTAATTTTAAAATGTAGAAAACTATTTTTCTTACATCATCGCTGAATGTGACCAGTGCCACTCTCCTGCGGGGAGACTGCTGCAGCAGAGATGTTAGCACCCTCTGCAGGGCATCCTGGATTCCCTGGGGAGGGAAAAAAAAAAGGATTTTTAATATCACCACATGTCTAAAATGTATATTACACAATGGGTTGAGAATGTATTCAGCCCTTTAGTGATTTAGTACCAAACACATCTCACCTCCAGTCTGGAAATGTATGTCTGAGATCCAGTGCTTGATGTTACCTAAAGTGGAGCAAACATGTCAGTCCTGGTCCTTTAATGCATTGGTGCTTTTGCTTAAGTAGGATCTGAATACGTCTTCCACCTCTGCTTCTACACACACACACACACACACACACACACACACCTCCGTAGTGACACTCATGCTGCCAGAAATATCCACACAGAACACCACCAGCGTGTCCTCCAAGTTCTGGTAGTCGTCCTCGCTCTGATTCGGCAGGTAAAGCTCATCACTGTGTACGCCTGCACGCTGACCGATACACACTCGTGCCCCGCCGTCGTTCACGCTGTTTTCACATCCACAGAACTCACACACCCATACCTGAAGAAGAGGAAGAGAGGAGGGAAGGTATACCGCTCATTTGTTTGAACCATCTTTGTACAATATGAGCTATAATTACGCCTTAATGCCTAAACTAAACAGAGAAGTCATGAACGTGTAGAGAAAACAACATTACAAAAGACATATTAACCACTCACATTCGTCTGCATAGTACTAAGACATGACAGGGCAGCACTACATTTCCCACAAATCACCGGGCTTTGAAAACTCTCGAGGCCTGAAGCTGAGAGAAGGAGAAAAATGAAAGCAGTATGAAAAAACAATCGAGCAGGTGTGTGTGTGTGTGTGTGTGTGTGTCTTCTGACCTTGGCTGATGTCAACCAGTTTTCCGATACCGAGGGAGACGACGTTGATGTTGGCTCTCAGCCTGCTCTCACCTTCCAGCTTGTCAACTGACGAATCACCACAAAGGAATGAAAATAGGCAAACAGCAGAATATGGATTTTAAAAGAGCTCCTGATTTACTCAGAGAAAAAGGAGCGGGGACGAAGAGCAAACAAAACTCACGTCTGGGTGGGACGGGAGGAGGGAGGGAGAGGGGCCCGAATGGAGGCTGAAAGGGGGGAAGAGGTGGGAGAGGCAGAGAAGTAGGCCGGGGTTTTCTGAGACGACGGGGAGGCAGCGGTGGAGGAACTGTACCAGGAGACAGAGAGAAAGAAAGAGAGAGAACAAAAGAAAAGAAAGATTGTGCTATGAGTCATAGTTCAACACCAATACAAAAAAAATGAAATAAAGATCAAAAACTAGAGTTTTCCGACCTTTTTTTTTTTTAAAACCAAAAAGCACAGAGCAAAACGTAACCTGCAAATGTTAGCAACTTAACTAGCGTACTTCCTACTACAGTAATAGGTTATTTCCAAAGGTGAGGAGTATTGCATTAGCTAACCACATGTAGTTTCATTACAAGTTAAATCGCACATATTCCCTTGTAGTATTTTTCCACTGTATGGAAGCCGGTCGTCAATGCTGTGACAGTTTACGCTAACAATATCAGCTCTGTCCAACCCCAGCCAAACTGCCACACAGTTGCCACACTGGTCTTCATTAAAGCCTTTTCTTTTCTGATATTAAAAGTGGTACAGGCTGTTTGAAAATACAAACAATATAGCATATATCTAACCTCTGTCTAGCTTGTCGAATAAGCTCTAAACTGCAAGACCAATCTACATCTATATGTCACATATTTACTCTGACAGAGATGTTTTAAAATGAGTCAGCTGGAAACAAAAAGTTAGCTGAATACAACGTTTTTCACATAGGTAACTCTCTAGCTTAATTAGCTAGCTAAAGCTAATAAAAGCTGCCAGCGACGGTTGTCATTTCAGCCAGAAAAGTCGTCGGTTGTTGGCTGAAACAACTGACACATTGTTTCAAATGTTACGACAAATTTTGAACGTAAATCTTGCACTGTGAGCACTGTAAACTGCGAATGTGCTGTGCGAGACCTGAAAGCTTGAAAACAGTAACTAAGGGAAGCTTAATAGCGAACATAGGACTGCTAATTAACATATTAGATGTTGTTAATCGTCTACTTTGATTGAAATCTGTTGGCACATTGCATCTATCCTGTTAGCACAATATGGAAAAGTACAGGAAGAAACAATACACCTACATTATGACAATTAGTAGGCTATGTGCTGTGTAGTAGTGTGCAGTAGTTTTCTGCATCACTTCCACACTATTCAATGATCGAATGAGACTTTTGTAGACTGTAATTTTAAGAACGGCTTTGTTCTTGCGTCAATAAATTTGTGTGGACTTCCCCTTGTTGAATTGCAATCTGTAGATCTTAAACCTGCCTCTGTGTTCTTTCTCTCTCTTGCATTTGCAAGCATGCCCACACACACACACGCACACACACACACACACACACTCACTCACTCACTACTTAATATGCTTTCCTGTTATTTTGCTGCAATACTCTTGAGAATGTGATGAACACTGAAAAACAGTTAATAGATGGTGTTGACCTTTATGGATGCTGTGTGTTTGTGCACGTGTGTGTGAGGAGAGGGATGGGGGGGATAATTACCTTCTTGTTGTTTAACAGTTACCATGTTGTCATACTGGGGCTCCATAAGAAAATCAGCTGTGGATGCTGGGAAAATGAGTTCATTAAGATATATTTATGGTGCTCAGGAAACACACTCTTATTTTGAAATACAGGTACGCTCACACAAAGGATTATCTGGCACGTCACCACGATTGCTTCACAATAAGAGCGTTAAATAGCAATCAGGCATGATACCAAAATAGAATGAATAAAACAAGAATAAAATCAACAACAAAACAACAAAACATGAATTATCAAGTGGATAAATGTATGTAAGTATTAAGTTTTTTTTTTTAAATCTTGGTATGATACAAACTCATTCAAAGTTCAGGGGTGACATTTCACACTCAAAAGTTTTTAATAAAAGTTATACCAAATGGAAATGGATGCACTCACCTGTGCCACCAGACATCCAATTACATACAACATGACTGCAGGCAAACTCCATCTGAGAAAGACACAAAATACTGAATGTTACTTCACCTATATTTTAAAGAACGTCGAATTCAGACATATCAGCGAAGACGACAAAAACAGCTTCCTGGCTTCGTGGCTATATGGTCACCATGGCAACTGGGGCCTTGATTTGGTTATTTTTCTAGTTAACAGGTGGGTGAGTAAAACCATGAAAGCAGCCATTTCCTGTTTGAACAACTGTAAGATAAAGTAGAACAACATGGTAAGTAATGGCCTGGTATGGGTGAAGCACGCATACAGTGTGTGTGTACTGTATGTAACAGTAGGTTTGCCACATGTGCAGTAGTTTACTGGATATTACTAATAACTGCCATGAGCCAACACAGCCGTGGGTCCGCCATTAAAGAGGTGCAAGAAAATCTGATCTGATCTACAATATTCGTTTTAAATTTACGTGACACAACAGGATGTATAATCAGACTCATTATTGGTTGTTTTTTAGGTGGTCACACCTCAAACTGCCTTGTGTGTCTCTAACCACAAGGTACTGCAATGCTGATGATGATTACTGCACTGAACCAAAACAGAGGTAAAACAATGATTTTATTCATTATTTAGTCAATGGAACGACATTTTATCAGCAACTATGTATAAGTAAATAATTGTTTTAATCATTTTTTCATTAAAGTAAAATTATAATATATAATAAATAATTTATACCATTGTAGGTCAAACATCTTTGGATTTTTTAGTTTGTAAGACTAAACTGGTAGTTTTAAGGTTTCACTATGGACTCTGAGTAATTGTGATGAGCATTTTTGTGATGACATTAGACACAAAGATACTGTTTTGCTCTCAGTCTTAACTCTTAATTGATTTATTTTACTGTATTTTTCATCTCTTTTCTGCTCTTTGCACTACATCCTCCTGTGCTGCTGTGCAAAATTTGAATGTCTCCCACATGGGATCAATAAAGGAACTATATCCTTATTCATTAACATGGAGGAATCCGGAAAATGGCATCATTTGTAGATTTAGATTGAACTTTCACACTGAACTGCCTGTACCTATATAGTGCATTTCTGGTCTTCCTCCACTCAAAGTGCTTAACACTACATGATTCACACACACACATTCATACACTGATGCTAGCGGCTGCCATGCAAAGTGGGGGCACAGGGGACACATTTATACGCCGATGACACAGCATCGGGAGCCATTTGGGATTCAGTGTCTTCGGGATTCAGTTTCTTGCTCAAGGACACTTTGACATGCAGCAGGAAGAGCTGAGGATCGAACCACCAACTTTCTGCTTAGTCGTTGGCCCGCTCTACTAACGCGACTAAGATCACCCCGTGTCTTTGAATAAATGTTAAAGGAAAACTGAGAATTAGGTAAACATGATTATACATATGAGGGTATTTGCTCTTTGTAGATGAGAAGATCGATACTACCGTCGTGTGTGCGCTATATAAACCTGCAAGAGGAGCCATCTAACTTAGCTTAGCACAAAGAGTGGAAACAAGGAAACAGCTAACCGGGTTCAGTTCAAAAGAAACAAAATCAAATCATTATACATTACTCTGTTCTTTAGTCTGTAAACCTGAAGAGTAAAAACATCAATTTGCCATTTTATAGTGAATCCTACTTCCTGGAGTCTCTGCTAGCCTCAGCCAAGGAATATTCCAGCACATTAATCCCCGTAAACAATCGTTTTTACACTTTAGTTTTCATACAGAGCTTCAGAGGTGCTGGCAGACGTATTTTATTCATTTTGATCAGAGCCAGGCTAGCTGTTTCCCCCTGTTTCCAGTCTTTGTGCTAAGCTAACCTAGCCACGTCCTTGCTGCAGCTTCATATTTAACGTTTACTGACGTGTGAGTGGTATCGATCTTTTCATCTAACTCTCAGCAAGAAAGTGAAGAAGCGTATTTCCCAAAATGTTTCATTCAACACATTCAGAGTTGCTTAAAAGAACATATCTTCATATATTGTCCAACTTCAAAAAGTTCACATTATCTATTTTCAACTAGTTTTTACTATTAAACAGATCTTCCGTTCTACATTCTGGCCTATATTTCATACTATAATTTGTACCTAATTGTAATGTTATTCATATTATAAAAATGATACAGATATCTGCTTTCCCAAAGGTAACATGATTGGTTTGCAGTCATCAGTCATTTTATAACAGCAGGTGACACTTACTGCAGGTAAAACTGTTAATGTCTCACTTCAACCTTTGGACACTCGACTACATGAAATAATTTTGGTAAACGTCAAATTAACAGAAATGAATAAAGAACACAGGAAACTGGTAGTTTTAGTGGTTGTAAGGTTCACTGATCTGAAGTGTCTTCTGAAGTGAAAGCACTTTCCTCATACCTCACATACATTACAACAAGAAAAGAATTACCTTGGCCGTGGTCTGTGTACAGCTGTGTCACTAAAACTGAAAGCAAGTGTTTTCAGCGCAGCAGGTTTATCATATGCGTGTGTGTGTAGGCGTGTTCAAAGTCTAAAAATGCAAGGCTGCACTTGTGTGCCAGGAAGTTGGCGTTGGAGTTCGTAGTCGAGAGAAATGAAAGCTAAAAAGGAAGAGAAGAGTTGAAAGAAAGAAGAAAAAGACTGGTATCTACAGACGTTTTAATCATAACCAAAGAGAGAGAAACACATGTAAAAGATGTATAACTTTTGACAGTGTGTGTCTGACAGAGGTTACCCCTTTTGGTCACTGAGCTTTGAACTCTGTGTGCAGACTACAGTGACTTACATGCTGTTAAAAAACACACATATTATATACAGTATAATAGTAACTTTATTAGTTAGAATTAACACTGTTAGTGCATTTAATACAAGTTCAGGATGTGTGTTACACAGTGCAAGATGAAAGGGAAATGAGGTTTAAAAACAAATGATAAAAAAGGATACATTATTAGTCTTAAAGGAGCACTCCAGACAAACCTTTGACAGTTTGAAGGTGCTTACCAGGCAGGGAGGGTCTAATGAAACATGCTATCAAGCTGTATTATGAGAAATATAGGATAACGTGTTTTTTTAGAGCTGTCTTGGAGAACATCTTTGCCCCTGCTACTTCAATTCTGACCATAATTTGTCTCTTGCAACAGTTGGAGTACTCCTTTAATTATAAAACTCTATTAGAGGGAGTCCAGTCAAATAAAATAATCTGCTTTTAATTAGGAATGTCTACTATATACAGTATGACCTGTATATACTCTATGTATTGTCTAATTCTTCGTATGCTGTGTATGTCCTGTGAAAATCTAGTTATTAGTATCTTTAATACACTCTGTGTGTATTCATTGATCTCTATTGTATTTCATTCCTAATAACAAGGAATGTTCAGTTCATGATTCAACCGCTTATACAAAACTCTCCTGCTGCGACCGTTATAATCACTTAAATCAGTGATAACAATAATTTATTTAAGTCTTGAACTAAACTTACAGTATTTCTGAGCTCGTTGATCAAATTTAAAGGACCATACTGGTGTTTCTTTTTTTGTTTTTGACCAATTTTGACCAATCTTGGTTATGGTTTCCATCACTACTAATAATTAATAATACAGAGCATACTGTCAGATTTTAGATACATTTTCTGTCTTTCAGGCACCTAATTTCCCAGTTTGTGTTCATTTACTGTATGAAAGTTTAAAATGTGCTTCAACTTGTACGACTTGTACCACACAAGTCACAGTTAACACTCTGGCATAATAGTGTTCTTCTGCCAGTATTAGTCTGGTGAAAGTAATAATCTGCTCGGATACTATTTAGTCGATTATTTCTTCCCTTCCAGCGACTCCAGCACGGCTCTTAAGATGGCGGCAACAGCCACGGCGCCGGGGTCGGGCAGGGTGACCCGCTCAGCTGCGACGTAGCTGGCTCTGCCCGCCCTCGCTGTGAGGTTACGTGTCGACTCTGCCCCCGAGGCCGCTCTCTAGGAAGAGACAGGCAGAAGATGAGGCATCTCGGGGAACATGTGAACAAACACTGCAGGCAGCATCACAACAAAAGTGTGTTAATGCACCTGAACGGCAGCCTGCAGTACGGCCATCTGACCACCAGGCGGTTCTGTGGTTAGCTTCATCAGCTCATCCACAGCAGGACACAAAGCATCCAACTAGAGAGGGAGAGAAACAGACATATGAGGACAAAGTACAGTACAGTAAAGGCAAAAGATTTACAATAACATGAATATTTACAGCTTGAAAAATAATATATTAATCAGGAATTTCTTAAATTAGAAAAGATGCATCAAACGTGGCAGAGAAATGAGACAACTCTCACCATCGTTCTGTCTCCAGGGTCAGCACCCCCATATCTGAAAGACAGATTCATGTGAATGTTTTTGAACTTTTGATTCATTTATCATTTTCATTATTGTTTATTTAAACATTTCCCTTTATTGAGTAATTGTTTATTAGTTAATTAACTTTGAAATGAAAGTTTTTGAGTTTTTTGTCAGACAAATAGCAGTTCACAATTACTTTAACACTTACTATAACAAATTTTTTCCTAAAGAAATTACTTCTATGAACTATCATCAACATTTTTAAATAAAAAAAAAATAAATCGAATTATTAACCAACACTTCTGTCATAATTTAGTATTCTATTCAGCACCTCAAAATGGATTATATAGACATGATGTGTTGGAAGTCATGTGTCATCCTGTGGCTTCTCTTCTCTTCCTCTCTTTATTATTTATTGAAACCACTGTTTTTTTATGCCCTCCTAATTTACAAAAAAAAACCACATTACCACACACGCAGATAAGTAGCACAGCAGCGCACGCAGACATGTAGGTATACTGAAAATAAACACAGGCAGACACACACACAGCCACACACCTCCTCATGGCCTGTGTCCCAGCATGCATTGCACTAGCCCAAGCTGCAGCGTTGCTCCGGCCCTCAGTCACATGACCAGCCGCCGCGGTCAGGAACAGACTGTACAACTGAAACACACATGAAGATGAGTGTGTGTTTGTGAGGGTAAAGCTAATAATTAAACACTTTATGTCAAAACTTACCGCTCCTGAAGACCCGCCCATCTTCTCCTGCACCAATCCAGCGAGGACGGATAACAGTCGCCCGGGGCAACCAGGGACCACATGATCCTGGAGCCACTCCTGGATGGCTGAATGAGCATTTTCACAATTTAAAAAAATCTGGTTAGAAGATCTAAACTTATAAAAAAAAAAAAAATAATATAATAAACTTATATGTTATTGTGCTGCTGCCGATACTACACACTCTTTGCTACCTCTAGCGGCCTGTGCATGAGTGTTCCCACAGTCTCCGTCCCCTCCTGCACGGTCCAGGGAGTTGAGTTCTTCCTGCTTTTCCAACAGCGTGGAACAAACCTTCTCCAACGCTTTACGCATCACAGGACTCAGTGGCCCTGGCAGGAAAAAAAAACAGACATGTTTTATTCATTTAAATATACATTTTTGTAATTTATTAACAACACGCGAGGCTTTCCACAGAATTGGGCAGAAGATGAACGAGCATCACCTTTCCTTTTGTAGTTGCTCCTGTAACATATGATTTCACACAAATTCACCACCATAATATAAAGTGATATATTTACATGTACACACTGTAGGTAATCTTGGAAACCAACCTTCAGAGTGCGTGTCGTCCTGGGGCCTTATGCTCACGGCTTCAGGGTCTTTGATTAAGCTGCGTCCGCTTACACACTGACTGCTGAGGTTTGGCCAGGCGGGGGCGCTGGTCTTAGCATCTTTAAAAGGATAGAGGATGTTAAATCTATGTGTGTGTGTTCGCTCTTGTACTTCTATCTTTGTGAGGACGATTTGAGTTTTAGACATTGTGAGGACATTCTGTTACATCCTCTCTCCTTTAAAGGGCTGTTTAATGTTAAAGACTTGGTTTTAGGTTTAAGGGTAGAATTAAGAATTAATTCAAAAACATTTAAAAAGTTAGTATAGTTTATGTATATTACGAAATGTTTAACTATTCCTTTAGAAATAGGGTTAGGGGCTGCAGACTGCATCATATCAATGAGGGTCCTTACATGCATAGCAATACAAACATGTGTGATGTCTGCGTATGCTCACCAAACAGTCTCAGTGTTTCCTGGTTGGCCCTCATCAGGGTCAGCGACACTCCCGCCATCTCCAGGGATGTCATGAACGACCCGGACATCACCCTGGCAACCGCCACACCGCGACTCTCTGTAACCATAGAAACCTGCCAGTCACACATCCTCAGAGAAGTTTCCCATCAAAGAGAGTTCAACTTGGGAAACTGCTGCTGCCTTGCTCTACAGGTCCCTGGCTGGAGTTATTTTAATGCGTATTAATACATTAACACCAGCAAGCAAATGTAACCATAGTTACCAAGACAGATGATGGCCGCTCTAGTAACCACGGCCAACTCCAGACAAGACAGAGCTCCGAGGTTGTTCACACACACAACCACACTGTCTCCTGTATACAAAAATAAAGACTCACACACATTTCTAACACAAATTGGCTGCATACACTGTTATCGGTATAAATAGAGACACAGTTATACTCAGAGGACCTGACTTAAGAGGCAGATGTGATTGGCTGTCAGGGTTGGTCATGTGATCTATCATGGTCTTCACCACCTCGTCTGCAGATGCAACCTGATAAACAGGATAAATGAATAAGACAAATACATGAAAATATGACAAGAAAAAGGGTTATTGCTAAATATTTATAGCGGTTTTAGGTTGGTACTGGCTCAGTCTGATTCACCTTTGACCTTTTAATTCCAGCTTCACCGTGGATTCCTGAGGAAGATGGAAAACAAATGTCACTCTTTAGTGCTGAAATGCTAAATTCTATCCACTTTCATTGTATTTTGGGGAAAATACACCTTAAACAGAAACTATGCAAATACAGCTTAAAAATGGATTTGTGTCATTTGAGTGAACTAACCTTTTAAACACACTTTCGGTCCACAATTTGCTGTTTTGACGCTCAATAACCAATTTCAAAGTTATCAGTAATCCATTAACAAGTGGAGCAACAGGCCACTAGAGGGTGCTATTCACTCACAAAAACATCAACTTGTCATGCCCACCATAATAAACTTTCCTCAGTTTGCAAATTAATACAGAGAAGCAAAAGATGCCAGATATTTACCCTCAGCTACTTATTCTTAAGTCTGTCAGATACTTTTTTTTATCAGATCAGGAATGTAGATTTAGTTCAGGAAAACTTATATCTACAATCCTCAATCTGTCCCTCTCTCTTTCCACCTTCTCTCTTTCTTCATCGTCCCTCACCCAGTCCCAGCTCCATGTCTCCCGGCGGTAGCTCGAAAGAAGGCAGGCAGCCTGGGACACTGCACGGAGACAGACTCACCCCCAGCGTGCCTGCAATACACACACCAAAAACACAGTTTATCACGAAGAGTATCGCAGTGCTTCTACCGAGTTAAAGGGGGTGAAAAAGTCAGACTCACCAATCCCCTTCAAGAGATCTGTCACTTTGGAAACGATCTGGTCCAATGAGCAGCCTTCCTCTGCTAAGGCACCTGCCAGCTGACAGAAAGTGAGAGATCTTTTAAAGGCAGGTATCAAGAGGTGCAACAGGCAACTTTTTCATAAATAAAACAATATCTGGGTTGTTGAGTGCATGAGAGCATGAAAGGAAGTGCAGGATCAGTTATAAATTGCTGGAGTACTCCTTTAAAATGTATCATTTTACTATTAAATAATCCTGGACTAAAACAAAAAACAAGACACATTAAAAAATGTCCTATAAAATGTTTTGAGATGCATTTTCTATAAAAATTGACACTTATTTCACTCTTTAAGTATGGAAATGTGAACCCTAGATATATTGAAATTTAGTATTCATTCACATTGATCTTTCATTTATTAATCAGAATTTCTTTTATTTCTTAGCTTGAATTATAAAACTTAAACTTAAATAAAAACATCCGTAGGTTATACCTACGCTTAACTATAGAAACTGTTCTCACGAGGTGACAAAACTGGATCCTCACAAGAAGAAAGTGAAAGAAGAAAATGTCTGAGCAAAGTCCATTTGCAGAGAAAATGCAGTTAAAGTAAATGGACCTTAAGTTAAGATTTGTTTTTCTCATGCTACTATTTATTTCTAAGGTAAAGAAAGAAGATTCACGCTCAGAATTGCTGTTGTTTACCTTGTGTATGAAGATGGTGCCACACAAGCCTCTCCTCCCGGCCTTACTGGGCTGGTCGAAGGCGCAGTCCTCGGCCACAATCACCATGTCAACAGCGACGCCGTGGTTACGGGCCTGCTCCGCAGCCAGTCCGAAGTTGAGGCGGTCGCCGGTGTAGTTCTTCACAATGAGGAGAACTCCAGAGGCTCCTGTGGAGGGAGGAGGGTTGTACGTCTTCAGTTAATTGCCATTTAATTTAATTATTTTAAAATGAACATTCACAGTGGTGGCTTTAACTTCTTTTAACACAATCAGTCTTTTCTATTCAAGATGGTTTTTTGCAATGATGATTCCCTTTATTGTCCTGCACACATCTTTAATAAATGAAGACAGAATCAGAGGGAAACGCTGGCGTACATTACCTGCATTGTGCAAAGACAGAATGGCAGCCAGGATGCTGGCAGGAGGCGGAGACGCAAACACCCCACCTGCCACAGCTGCTGACAGCATCCCTGCACCAACATAACCTGGAGACACACGGAAGGGGGGGAAGGGGGGGAAGGGGGGAGTAAAATGTGAGAGATAAAAGCTGAGAGAACTAGAAAAAAAAAAGGTCCTATTTTAAAATGTCCTACCCCCGTGTGCCGGCTCGTGTCCCGACCCCCCTCCAGACAGCAGAGCCACTTTGCCCCTCAGGTTGTCCAGGTCGGAGCGGAGCACAACCCTGTGGCCCTTCAGCAGAGACAGGCCCCCGCTGGCCCTCACGAGGCCGCAGAGGGCCTCGTCCACACAGCTGTCCGCTGAGTTGATCAACTTCTTTTTGGCCTGAGAGAGAAATATTGAACGTACGCACAAAATGTAGAGTAAGCACACAAAATATGATGAGCTGTTATAGTTTAAAGTAGCACGTATGTCCAAATGCTGCTTATTAATAACAGGACTATAATAATATAATAGTACTTTTCATACACAAAACAATTAATTTATTTGCTTAAATCACTGAACTCCCCCTGCCTTTATTGGGGACAGGCCTCTATTTGGGACAGGCCTTTAATTCCTTTAGCACAAAACTAAACTAAACTCTTGCTTCTCTTGAGTTTTGTTCAGCAAATTTGACAACTAACATTATGATTATGATGCTTCAGATGTTTTTTTCCGTCTCTCTTTTTGACCATGTTACCGGTAATTCAGAATGAATTAGCGTTACACTTTGGTTTCGTTGATAGTTTTCGTAAAATATAGTGAAAGATTAAATTGTGGAGAATCTAACTGATCTAATGATGTGCAGCATGTACA